ATTGCTGTAGGATTCTTATTTTTTTTCATTGACAATTTGCTGTAAAGTTGCTTTGCAATGATTTGTATCGTGAAAAGCGCTGTACAAATAAACTTGAATTGAATTGAAACTTGAATTCTATATACTGTATAAGCAACATCAGACCGGGTTATACCTGTCTTAAAATCCATGAATTCTGAGGCTGGTGTTCTTATTAAAGTACCTCACTGCTCATAACATAGTGGTAGAAAAGGGTGGAGTTTAGGTTAATGACTGCTGACTAATAAAAGGAAATCCTGTCTTGGTTCCTTTTTATGACGCTTATACTGAAATGTAAAGTTGTGTGCTTTCACATAGTCACTTCCTCATACAAATTACATATTTCAAATTAGTTTTGAGGGGAGTATTGCATGACCTGGTAAGTGCTCTGTTTAGCTTAATATTCATTTTTCAGAGGCATGTTACATTTGGTAATTTAATAAGAATTTAAGGGGAAAGGAAAAATTACTGGAAAAAGTGAAAAAGAAAAGAAAAAACTGCAGCATTGCTTATTTGGCAACAGGATAGTGCACAAAAAATTTCACACAAATTTACTTCTAACTGATCAAAAATGATATGTGTGTGTATATATTACACACAAAACTGCTAAATAGGACATCAGTTATTTAATTCAAATAGAGTTCAAAAACCTTTTAATTTATTTATTGTTTTTAGACATTTAGAGAGTTTGTCTTCTCCATTACAGAAGTCCTGAACTTCAAAATAAAAAACATTAATAATGTAAATGTAAAAAAAAGTGTCTTAGATCCTTCCTGAACTTAATTTTTTTTAAGTTTGTTTTTCTCTCTCTAAAACTTTTTTCTCTATTCAGAACTTTTCTCTCTCTTCATGAACTTATTTTTCTCTGTCCAAAAAACTTTTTTTTCTCGTCCGAAACCACTGCATAACGTTTTCTTTCTTTTATTTTCTCGTTTTGAAGAGAGAAAGAAATTTGGAGACAGAATTGTTTTTGGAGAGAACAAAACAAGTCAGAGAGAAAGTGAGAGAAAATCTTAGGACTCAGGAAGGATCTAAGGCACTTTTCCCCACCAACTTGAATTTTTTTGTTTAAGTGGCAGATCAGGGCTACTGTAATTTCAGTTCATCTATTTGATGCATCTGATCAACAACCCCTAATTTTTTTTCTGCACAGTGGCATTCTTCAAAGATGAACACCTCAGATTTACCCAACGCGAGCCATGGGGATACATGTCCTCCTGAGCCTCAGCACATGTCTCTGGCTGTGATCCTCTGTCTGGTCTATCTGCTGGGCCTTCTGCTCAATGGATTCAGCCTGTGGGTCTTCACCTGCCGCATTCACAAATGGAACTCTGGAGCTGTTCTTCAATTTAATCTGGCTCTATCTGACGCCATCATCACTCCACTCACCCCACTGATGGCAGCGTACTTTGCCATGGATAGCAACTGGATTTTTGGGGATTTTGCCTGCCAGCTGAAGATCGCCGTGCTCAGCATCCACTTTAATGGCAGCGTGATCTTCCTCACACTTATCAGCGTTCATCGATATGTGTCCGTGGTTCACTTCAACCGCTCCTCGTTGATAAAAAGGAAGATATTCGTGAAGAAGCTGTGTGCAGGGATTTGGTGTTTTCTGATAATAATTGGCATTTTCTATGGATGGCTGCTTCCTGTGACCACTGAAGAAAATCATGGGCAGTGTCTTACTATTCATCAGACAAGGTTGACAGATGCTTACTTTATTATTAACTTTGTGATTTTCTTCTTTTGGTGTATTTTACCCTTAACTATATCAGTGTTTTGCTACAGTCGCCTGGCGAGCTCAGTGTCCCGCATTAACATAAATTCTGCTCAGGGCCAATCAGTCAAGAATAAGTCTATGAGGATGATAGGGATATGTGTATTCATATTTGGCCTTTGCTTTCTTCCTCTCAATGTTGTTCGGACTATCGGAGTAGTTGTGAAAAAGTATCATCCTAGTAAATGTAGACTTATGTTGCAGTTGCAAACAGCATATTATGCATGCTATATTTTGGCAGGAATCAACTGCTGCTTGGACCCTCTCATCTACTTTTTTGGCTCACGTAATTTTATCAAAGCATTCAGAAGTTCTCTTAAGGTAATAGGGTTCAGACGTAATGTTGAAAACAAAATTGAATCAGAAACAGTAAGTCAAAGTGTAAACAGAAATGTAGTTTCAGCTATCTCTTAGGACATGAAGAAATTGAAATGGAAGTTGCGATCAAATTTTCCGAACTCATGTCAGTGAACACGTCCTCAGAGAAGAGGTGTTGCTGCAAGGGGAAGTTAAAGCTTATGATGGTACATGAACTAAAAAAAAGTACAAAACACTGTCCATTTTGATTTAATGGTGACTTGGTGCTTTGATAAGCAGCCTACTGCAAGATTACACTTAAAAAAATGTTTGTGTTTTAGTTATTTATTTGTCCTGTATGATCCTATTCCACAATACTGAAATAAAAAATATAAAATATTTAAAAAATATTTTTAAGTGTAATCTTGCCGATAGTATTGTGAACATGTTACTGGCCTCCACTGTCTTGTTGAGCACAGGCAAAAATGATGTTTCTACTAACAACACTGTGGAATGCATTAAGAATTTGTTAAAATAATTTTCTAAATATTTATTCTAGCCCACAAAGCAATGTTTTAGAACATGAGTAACCTTTCACAACATGCTAATGATAAATAAATGCAGCACGAAGTTTTGAAAGTTTTATTCAGCTGAATCTTTCAGACGGTATGAATAAAATTGATATCTAAATTAATATTTTGAATTGTGTGTAGTATTGATATTTCAAATAGCCTGCAACAGTCATGATGTGAGTGAAACTAAATAAACAGAAGATCCATTTTTGAAGCTGTTTATCTCATTGTTGATTACTGATACAAGATATAAAATAACGTTCATTGGCTCAGTGTTTTTCCTATTAGGCTATTGTTATTTTTTTTGTATCTTTGTAAATTGTAAATGTTTTGTAAATGTAACTGTACAAGCATTTTTCAAAACAACGAGCATTAACATTTCCTGTTGTGCAACTTTTCTTATCTGCACTATAATAAAGAGATTTAAGAAGTGAGTCAGTTTACGTCTGTTTTTTTTCCGCTGTTACTGGCGAGTACCGCAGGACTCCCGAGTGACGTCAGGACATTATTTGCGTGACGTCACGTCGGCCACAGGTAAAGCGTTTCCTTTCCTTGTGGCTCAGTTTCGCTCACCCACCTGTTCACTGTGGATAGAGAACAGAATGGGGAAGATTCAGGAATTCGAAATAACTCTTAATAACAACAAAACGGTTTATAATCCTGGCGAATCCCTCTCCGGAACTCTGAAAATCTCAATTGCACAGCCAATACATTGTAAAGGTAAGTAAACTAAACAAACGACTCCAATTATCGCACACCGCAGCCACCCATTGTGGTTTCATTGGATGATTTTTTTAAAAAGTTTCTGAACAAGTTTACTTCTTAAAGTACCTACAATACGTGTATATCAAACGTAAATCTTAGCCCACTGGTTGTTTTCCTAGACGTTCTCACGTTTAGAATTGGTTTTGTGCTTTCGCATCGAGGACTGAAACTGGTGTGAGCGAAACTTGTTGTTGCGGATCTTTTATTGACATGCCAAAGCAGAATAGTGCATAAACCTCTTACCGCTTTCGTTCCTATCTTAGTTCTCTGAAATTTCTGTAATAACCATAAACAGAGTATTAAATGTTAATAAAAACGCTGAAATAATTGTGTGTAATCCACTCTGTTTCTCGATACCTTCCTTTCCAGGTGAACTAATCGCAGTTTCGGTTATCAGTTTCAGCATTTTAAAACAGTGACTGAGAAAATTACGCATGAAGACTTATATTTAAGTGAAAGTTAGGTACTATGAGGTAAAATAGTGAAAGGAAACCAACATGTGGATGTAACGCCTGAGCAGTTGCTTGGTGCTGTTGATTGTTTTTCCGAACGCTCAGTTTGCATATTTATGCATTGAGCCTTCAGCAGCGTGTTTGAGTCAGTCATTCAGACCTTGAAACATCTTTAAATTGTTAAACAAATCTTATTTTGAAATCTGTTTTCAATATCATACATAAATGCAATTTGCTGCAATACTGGTCAGACTGCTTGGTGCAAAAATACTGTAAAAGTAGTGTATGCATCTTCTCACCCACCGGCTGTTGATACCAGCACCTGTTTCACCCTGCTTCAGTGCTTTTCAGTGCACCTCATGTTAAGGTCAGATATCCTGACACAGCTAAGCCGAACAATGCTTATCCATTGCAGTATTTAAAGGGGTCATATGATGCGACAATGTTCTTTTTAGCAACATCATATGACCCCTTTAAAATATATTTATAAAATATATAAAAATATTTCTGGATACGTGAAGGAATGTAAGCCTTAAAGATCCCATTAATTGTGTCTTTTTTGTGCAGAATAGGTATAGGCATGTAGTATAAATGAATATGACTAGCTATCAAAAAAGTATAAGGCTTGTTACTTGCAATATGCATATTGAATTATTTCATATGCAGATACAGTACAGCTCTGGCTTGTGTATCTACATCCATAAAGCTAATGTAAGAGTAACCAGCCAAATCTATTGTCCAGGAAGACAATACAGCTACTGTTTGATTTTGGGCCTTATCTTGGCCATGGGATCAAGGTGAAATGTCTCTAAATATACATGAAAATGTCAGCCTATAGACCTATCGGCCTATTCTGTGTTAAAAATAAAACAAACAAACAAAAAACACCAACCAATGTGAACAAGGAAGCATGATTAAAAGTGTTGTTTTCGCACGTTTGAGAACTGCTGTGGGCAAGGCAAATGTGATAAGACTAAAAATGAGTCAGAGTGCAGTCAAGATGATAGTTTGAAAAAACGTCACACCAGATGTAATCATCAGTTTTACAGTGATATGAGAAAGAAAGCAAGTCATGTGGTTATGTCAGTGGTTTGGGGCTGGTCTATTATTTGAGCTGAGATGTTGATGAAGAATACTCACCAGACTGGTTCGCTCACATTCCAGATCAAGGACAACAGTAATAACAATCGCACAAAGTCACCTTTACAACTTTATGGAGAAGTCATCTGACAGTATTTAAAACAATAACAGTTCTATTTGAGTCTTTATTTATTTATTTTTTGGTTGAATTAAATTACTGAAGTAGTTGACTTTTTTGACCTGAGCAATTATTTTGCCCTCTTTTCAGGTGTATTAATCAATAGAAGATGTTTTTTTTAATAGTTGGACAAAAGTTTCTACCTATATCAGTTCATAATCATAAATGTCGGTTTAGTAGCACTCATATTCTGTTCAGTACGTCAGAGTGACCAATCATGAGATCTTTAGATTCCAGATGTTGTTGTTGTTCATCCAGTTTCTTACTGGAGTCTCTTCTGACATATTTCCCATGGTTGCTTATGTATCTGTGGTAACATCTCTGCTTGCTAGCACTCAATGTGTGTCTTGGGGTTAGAAAGAGAGAGAGAGAGAGAGAGAGAGAGAGAGAGAGAGAGGGGAAATGGTGGAAATAAAGGTTAGCAAACAGATAGAATCACAAAGACAAGGATTTAAAAGAAAGAAATGGACAAATAAAGTTAATGTTAATATCTGTATTAATTTCGGTCAGGGGTTGAGGACCTATCTTTGTAAACTATAGCTCATTGCTTTTTTGCAGATTTATTTATATAATTATTAAAAAAATGTTGTGGCACATTGTTATTTTTCAGATTAGGTATGTTTTCTCACCATTTTAAGTAGAAATGGTATTTTTTTTTTTAGTATTTTCATTAAACTAGTCAATGTTATGCTCAATTTGTAGTCTAATATATAAACAATTAAAATCTTGTGGTATTAAAAAGGTTAAAAAACTTTATACAGTCAGTTCTGCAAAAATATTATCTGCATTTAACAACTGTAAAAGTAATACATGGTCAGTTATTTTCAATTGCAAAACATTTTTACTGTCACCTGTTGCTAATTTTGTCATGCAGCAAGATGTATTTTTTTTCCCTTGTAGCAATGACTTGAAGCAGAACATTTCTTGAGAAATGATAAGTGAGTGAGTTCACTCACCTCAATGCTATGTATGTTTTAGGCCTCCTTTGTTGATGACATATGGCTTCTGTGTTTTTGTCTGTTACCATGACAGTCTGAATGTTTTAATGGAACGTCCTGTGTCATCTTGGTTCCAGACAATCCCAGTCATCATTTACTGACCCTCATGAAATATTCCTTTAAATAGCTGTTGTCAGGACATAATCTGAATCTCAACATAATCTCACACAATGACGCATTTCTTGTGATAGCCTTTCATCAGTAAAAAATACTCTTTCTTTTCAGTACTGCTTTGGATATAAATGAATATATATATATATTTTTTTATCTGCTGTACCAGTTATATATTACCCATTACTATGTGAACTTTTCTAATGTATCAAACGATCAAGTATGTGAGTGAACTTTTCCAATGAATCAAACTGCATCTTGAACACACGTTTGACCAGTTAGATCAAAACAGTGATTCATTCAAATCTGGCATCGCAAGTTCTGATTCTAAACAGCTGATTGTCAGAAAAAAAGGATTCTCAGGTTGGTATACAGTAATTTTCACTGACATATAAGGATTTATCAATAATATTTTACTGGGACAGAGCAGTATTTTTTTCCGGTGCTCGTGTTCCAGTAAAAAGGATCTATTATCAGCATCTTGCATCTGTACAGGCACATTTCTTTTGACTGACCTATGTCTTTATTTCCTAATCAGCAATCAAAGTGAACTGCCAGGGCTTCTGTGGAGTGACCAGCAAATCAAATGACACAGACTGGACAGAGGAGGAGCAGTACTTCAGCAGCTCAGTCTCAATAGCAGATAAAGGTACACAGATGTCATGGTCTCGCTCACACATTAAACGGTAGGATGATTGTTCAGATCTCTTACAGTTTCTCTCTGTCTGTTTCCCAGGCACTCTGAAAGACGGCGAGCACACTTTTTCCTTCAAGTTTCTCTTGCCAGGTGAGGCACACTTTTGTGTAATTGAGCTGACCTGTCGCTCTACATTCCTCCAAGACATGTCAGAGATTAATCACTGTTTACATTTATCCACGGCAACAGAACAACTTTAAAAAAAAAAAACTAAAATGTCAACTTTATATAACCAAATACAACCTATGTGTGTCACCCAATACAGGTATTAGGAGTTCAGGAGTATAGAATATAGGAGTTTTGTCCTAGTTAGATGAATGTACAATACCTTTCCAAAGGTTATTTTTTTTAAATGTTTTGGTAAAAAAAAAATACAGTAAAAATGCTTATACTGTGAAATATTGTTGCAAATTAAAATGTTTTCTATTTTTATATATTTTAAAATGTAATTTATTCTGTGACGATAAAACTGAATCAGCATCAGTACTCCAGTCTTCAGTGTCACGCGATCCTTCAGGAATCATTCTAAAATGCTGATTTGGTGCACAAGAAACATTTCTCATGTCTGTGTTAAAGTCAGTGTAAAGGCGATTCAGAGAATTGTTTCCAAACACATTATACATTTTAGAAATGTATTGCTGAAAACACGCTACAAAGACTGTGAACTATGTAGTACTGATTTGTGGAGTTAGACCGTTAAACAGTTTTTTTTACCATTTTTATGTTCAGGATTTTTTGGTTGGGCCTGAAATCATGTCTTAATGATGCACTTGAGGCACTAAGCATGGCCCGTCCCCTAACACGATAATAACTAGAGGGTATCAGCATCAGTGGTTTGCCCGCTCAATCGCGAGTTACTGTCATTACCGTTAGTTGCTACAGTTTGCTAGCTATCTTTGCCTTTGTCAAGTAAATGCATGTTATAAACGTGTATCGCTGTGTAAATCTAATTAAGCTGCTAGAGTGAGCTTCCATTCAGGATGAAGCGGTATTTGACAGTTGAAAGAGGTGGCAGCTTTCCCGCGAGTTGGCATGGTTTCAGCGCCGACCGAGGACACACCCCCAGCATTTGAGAGCAGAGAATAAATACTGCTGTTTTTTTTCAAGATTTTGATTACTTATTTATTTGGCGTTTTTTATGATTCAAATTTGGCTGGTTGGTTAATAACACATTTTTCGGTGGTGTCACAAACTTAAAACGCATTTAATATCGCTTTACAAGGACTTTAAAAACAGTTGTGCTACTTATGTATGTGGAAACTGTGATACATATTTTTTCAAGATTCTTTGATAAATATAAAGTTTAAAAGAACAGCATTTATGTAAAGTAGAAATTTTTGTAACATAAATAAAACAATTTTTTTTTTAAAGATAGTGTAAATTCTGTTACTGTCAGTTAATTTTCATACAACTGGAGGGTAAATCGTATTCCTTCATTTTTGTTTGTTTTATTCACTCTCTTCACAATGTGAAGCTAAGACACATGCTAGCCCATCTAGGCTATCCCAGCTCTTATTGTCTGGAGCTGCTATTTGAAACCTCCATCTGCTGTTCCTCTATTATCTGAGACTCCCCAGCTCCCCCCTTGCAGAACAATGCCACTCTTAAAGAATCGTGCTTCTCGTGCTGTACCGTTGGCTTCTGTGGTTTTCAGTCTTTTGCTAAAAACATTGAAGCTTATTGGATAATGCACCCTTTTAAACAATTTTGTTTGAAAAGAACATTGTTCCAATGCAAAAGTCCAAACTTTGGTTATGAGAAGTAAGCTAATTATTAGCCTCATCCTCATTTGTTTTTTTTTATTAATTAATTTATCTGCACCTGCAGAGTAGACATAAAAACCTCTCTAATCCTCTCTTTTGTAGCTGCTGCACCTACATCATTTGAAGGGCCTTATGGAAGGATTATATACAGAGTTCGGGCTTTCATAGACACACCTCGTTTTACAAAAGACTACAAGATAGAGAAGCCCTTCTCTATGAAGAACACAGTCAACCTGAATGAAATACCTGGTATTCAGGTAAATGTGCTACACAGACCTCCATATTCTAAACTGGCAAAAAAAAGAACCACAAACTTAAATGTCTTTAATTCTGATATCTTCTTTTATCTGTGCTGTCATTTACTGCCAATGATTTACATTACTATGCTTTTAATTATTTGCTTTGCGCAGGAACCTAGCTCCTATTCTGTAACCAAGAATTTCTCATACATGCTTGTGAAAAATGGGACAGTGGTGCTGAAAGCTAAGAGTGACATGCGAGGATATATCACTGGACAGATCATAAAAGTGTTTGCTGAGATTGAAAACAAATCTGATAAGTCAACAGGTCATGTGGTTGCCAGTCTAATGCAGGTAAGATTACACTAACTACATTTTACAGAATGAACTACAGTTTAAACAATTGAGTATAGTGTGTGAAAATAGTTCGGGGTCAGTAAGATTTTTTTAATGATCAAAAGTGACTGTAAAGACAAAAAAAAATTCAAATGAAAATAAATCCTGTTCTTTTGAACATTCTACTGATCAAAGAATCCTGAATATTAGGCTGCACAACACTGATAATAAGAAATGTTTCTTGAGCAATTTCTGAATGATAATGTGACACTGAATACTGGGGTAATGTCTGCTGAAAATTCATATTTGTGATTACAGGAATAAATTACATTTTAAAATATGTTAAAATAGAAAGCAGTTACTCTAAATTGTAAGACTATTACAACATTTATTCTTTTAATGTATTTTTGATCCTATAAGTGCAGCCTCGATGAGCACAAGTGACTTCTTTTAAGAACATTAAAATATCTTTCTGACCCCAAACTTTTGAATGGTAGTGTATATTCAGATTGGTTGTTGACTGATATGGCTATATAAACAATTGTGATTGAATATGCAGGTACACCTTTGGTAAATATCATGATAAGATTCTCACTATTGCTCATCTCTTAATTTTAGAAAGTTACATATAATACCAAGAAGCCAACATATGACGTGCGGACCGTAGCGGAGGTAGAAGGACCTGGAGTTAAGGGTGGACAAAAAACTGAATGGAAGGAGCAGATAATTGTACCTTCTCTTCATCTGTCCACTCTGACTGATGGAAACCTCATCCAAATCTGCTACTACATTCAGGTGAGTATTTAAATGAAGTTATTGTTACACATATTACATTAACATAATGTAATGCAAAGTGTGACACTTTTCTTTCCTATGAGTATTTTTCTCCATTGTGGAGTGTTTAATAATATCTGGCTGTATGTAATCACTGGGAACATGTATATCAGAGAGATGCATTTTATCAGAAGTTCATGCAAATTGCATTTGGTATTTCCTTCTTCCTTCCTCATGCAGAATCTCATCTGCATGTTTGTCTCTGCTTTTCCAGGTCTATTTGAAATACCCAGAGGTATCATTAACTCTGCCCATTTACATTGGAAGCATCGCAGTGGATCCAACTCGGCCTTCCATCTCCCGGCCGGTTCCACCCATGCCAGCCCCACGTAATAACCCCACCCCTGCTCCTGTCCCTGCTCCTGCCCCTTCTCCTGCTGCTGCTGCTCCCGCCGAATCTGCTCCACCCAGCCTGCCACCACGTACAACCCCAAAACCTGCACCCAAACCCAGGCCTCGTAGCACCTATGCATCCCTCAATGTGCTTCCCCCTGATCTGTACCCAGAACTCCCAGGTGTGGCTAACTACAACGGGGAAATGCCAAAGAGTCCACAGCATGAGTCTGGTTCCCAGGCTCCAGTGTCTCCCAATGCATTCAGCTACGCTCCTGGACTCAGCTTCAGACAGAAACAGAGCTCCAACGGCCCATCAGCACCCCCCTTCACTTCATCCACCAGCCCTCAAGACAGGAATGCAATGTCCTCTTCATTGAGCTTGCCTCCAAACTATAGGAGTTCACCATATCCACATGGTATGGCATGGTTATAAAATGTATTATAATTGATTATAAAAAATTCAGTATTCCTCAAAATGAATAAAAACAGTCAAATGCAAACTCAGAATAGGACGCAAACCTGCAGTAATTAAATGTTAAATAAGACAAATATAATTTATGTATTTAATCCCATTTTATTAACCACTGTCTTTGCTGCTGATCTTCGATGATCCAATTCAACCATACTAAGCAAAAATGACACATTTGTTTAATTTTTGTTATTGCTGAATACTGTGAATAGTGTGGAACTTTCTATTCCTGCATCATATTCTTCATGCAATTTGTTTGAGCTGCGCCCTCTACTGTACAGACGTGAATTTACATTTCCTTCAGCCTGAGGCGTATTCATTTCACTTTTGTTGTGAATTTATTTATTTATTTATTTATGTATTTAAATCAAATCACACGTAGAATCGTTTAAATTGCTTTATTTCTCTCATTTTATATAAGTAATAATCATTTAAGCTCCAATCATACAATATAATTTACATTATGACTATATATTTGTACATATTTTTTATATTTTATTTGGTCGCACATTTATTTATTTTTTTACATTAAATATCTGATTATTATAAAACATGCGAATATGATCATATTC